GGCCTTGTCGTAATAAGTTTCTGCTGATTTTCGCATACCCTTCCCAGTTTCGTCAACATTATATCTCACATATGTTGTGGAATTTTTGTCATCATAAACCATTGATTTGACGCAGAAACTGGGAGATTTAATGATTCATAACATGATAATAATATGCCCGCTAGCAGATATTGAGGCCTTCAAATATGCAGTTCTTAATTTAGTATCGTGACTATTTACTTTTAAGAAATAATGCACATCCTTGTATGCACAAAAATGCGAGTTTTGTCTGTATTAACAATTACCCGAGTTTGTTGAAACACTCGCGGGAATATATGTATATATATGGGTGATTTCATTTCAAATCGTGCAGGCAAAAAAGGTAGAATTTTCAATTTTGGTGAAAAAAATATGTTATGGCGTGGTCTCTAAAAACGCAGTAGCCACAATTCGCAAGTTCGTCGGATTTCTTTGTTCTGGACTAACAAATTTTAAAAGAGGCCGCGGCGGAAAGCAGTGTTTTTCACATCCGTCGTGGGTCGGATGTTTCCCTCGATCTCCTGCCGTGGATTTTCAGTCCACATTATAGCAACTTTTTTCAAGAACTCAGTGAACACATTTAAAAGGCTCTAATACCATGAAATAGTTTTAAGCTTTTTGCGTTTCTTCTGTAAAAGTGTCAAAAACGCCCCCTCGGTCAATTTTTGACGACATTTGACAATTAATTACAGGCGATCTACTTGGGTTACATTAATATTTATTATGTCCACAAAGAGCCCAAAACACGCCCTTTATATATATTATAAAATGCGTCGGTTGTATAAGATATGCTTCGCGGGACGTTTACATTTATATTATGCGAAAACCAAAAAGTACATTTGAAATAAATTTTCTCAAAGCAAACATTTTTTTTTATTTTTATTTTTGTTAAAATGTAGATATTATAGTTGTCTACATGAAAAGCAAGTCGAGAAAGTGTGTATTTTGTTTCTATGTTTTATATTTAAGAATAAATATCGTACAAAAACGTGTTTTTACGTCTCGAAATGGACTTGCGAGTTGCGCGCAATCACAAACGTTGAAATATTTTTTGCCTTTTTTCAACATTCCCATATAAAAATGAAATACAGTAGTTCCACCCTGTTATATTTATTTATTATTTAAATTTTATAATAGGCGGCAAGCTACATTGGAGGAGTTCAAAAAAGAAAACAACACTTCTAAACTGACCAGCAGGCGTCGTAAATTTTTAATGTGTTGAAATCGGCAGACGTCGTGTTGATTCGGGGCCTCCATAGGTTTATATGAACGTGCCGCCCTTCCGGAACAAGCAGATGACCACGACCTTTCGCGCTCGCTGTGTTAGATAGGACGGCCCGTGCCAGTAAAGTCAGCAGCGCACCCTCTGTCACGAGGAGTGAAATGGTACGAATCTGTTGTTGACGCGGCCAACATCTCTCTCCGCGGAGATCCGATAGCACCGAAGGGTTATCTCTTTTGAAAACAGCAAAGCCCGGAGACTGAAGGCCCGGTCACACTCTTGCGACCGAGTGCGACCGAGTACGACTGGGAGAGACGAGTTCTCTTAAAACTTGTTAAATGTTTTTAAACTGAGGGAACAAACTGTCATTGTGGCGCCATCTATGCGGTGACCCTGGAACTGCATTTCACAAGAGCGAAGGTTTTGCGGGATTTCCGAGGTCAAATGTGCGTAATACCCATAGAAAGGATCGTTTATAACATTGACAGAAGTTTTTCGAGCCAAGAAAGAAAGGATAATGCGCGAGAAATAAAAAAAAAAAAATATATGCCGGACCGCCGAGTTTACACTGCATCCCAATAGATGGCGCCATTGTGTTTTCGGGTTTAAGAAGTTGTAAGGAACCTAGGTTTTAAGGCTCGTTCACACTCTTGCAACCGAGTACGACCGAGAGAGACAAGACCGGTTTTTAATCCTTTTACGACGTCTTAGGACCAGCTCCGCAGCAGCGCGCCCGGTCTTAAGAGGTCGCAAGAGGCTTAAAAACCGGTTTGGTCTCTCTCGGTCGTACTCGGTTGCAAGAGTGTGAACGGGCCTTAAGAGGTCGCAAGAGTGTGAACGGGCCTTAACATTAAAAACGAGCGTGTTGGTAAATATACTTCTGTTTGTTCCGCCCGGAGACTAGTTGGGTCGCCGTTTGTGAAGAGTGGCCTTCTCCCGAAATGAAAAGTTAGCGCCGGCTGACGTGTTCTTTCGAAAAAGAAAAGGGGAAAGAGAGAGTTTGGGGTAACTGCAGTAAGTACCTCGAAAGCTCCTCTACCGATATGAGGCTCGAGGCATGTTACGTCTAGGTTTCCTTCTCGCGCATCGCTGCTCGAATCTTTTCTTCCCTTTGTTCAGCACAGCCACTGTTTCGCACAGCCGTCGTGGATGTGCGTAATAGAGGGAGGAACAGATTCGAGCATCATCTGGACACCGCCATCCTGCCAGGCTTCAGTGTCGTAGGACTGGACTCGGCGTCGGTCAGTTAAGTCTTTTTTTTTTAATTTCGTGTGCGTTTCTTCGCCCCGCTGAACTTTGTTTCTCGGGTGCGGTTCTGTTTAACTTTTTTTTTATGTTTTATGACTAATTGTTTGTTAGCATTGTTTAGTTGTTGGTTTTATTTCGTCATGGCGTAGCGGCCTGACGGTGCTGTAGAGAGCGTGTTCGCACGCATTCGGTTGTGTCCCGTTTAGGGAATTCACGGAGGAGTTGGTTTTTGTTCTTGCCGTGTGCTACTGAGTTTTTCCGTCTTTATTCAATCGTTGTTTGTTTGTTTTACCAGTACGTGTCGTCGACTTCTTTTATCTGACTCTCCACCAGGCGTGGACCTATCGCCTTGCCACCGCTCGAACCTAAATCTTTTTATTTATTTTTTAACGAAATTCTCGTTAAGATCAAAGTTTAGTAATTTTATTCTTATTTATTTATTTTTATTCCCTACCCCTCTTCGTGACACTTTCTCCGTGTGTTTTGGGTCTTTTCTGTGTCATCACTTTTGTGTATTACGGAAGTGAAAGGATATTCCCTGGTGGTCTGTCCAATGTACGGTGAACAAACCCTAGCGTTTGGTTTCGGAAAGAATTGTCTATAATATATCAATGATGTTGTGACTTTCTATGTCTTAGTCATGTGACAGCTAATTAGTTATGCTAGTTTGCAGTGAAAGGTTTATAAATCGAAACAATACAACGTCTGCGCCTCTTGGATCTGGAAGGTCAACTAGGCCTGCTGATTTGGATAGATACGTTTCTCGTGGTTTCCCGCTCTTATCAAAACATAAATAACTATCCAATACCACGAAATGCGTTTATAATTGATTACAAAACGCAAACGAAAAATCCAAGAAATTTTTTTTTCACAATTCATGGAAACGCACGGGTCGCTATGTCTGACTTAGGTCTTGCAAAACGAAGATGGCTTTTTCCGATATTGAGGCTTAAATATAGAACATACAAACAAAATATACATTTCTCGACCTAATCTTCTAGTAGACAACTACCATACCTACATTCTAACAAAAAAAAATAAAAAAATGTTTTTTTTTTAGAAAATCGATTTGAAAGTTGGTACTTTTTGATTTTCGCATAACATTAACATAAACGTCCCCCAAAGGATACATTATAAATCTGAGTCATTTTATAATATATATAAAGAGCATGTTTTGGATTCTTCGTACACATAAAAAAATATTGATGTCATCCAAGTAGATCGCCAGTATTTAATTGTCAATGTTCGTCAACAACTGACGAGGGGGCGTTTTTCACATTTTTATAGAAAAAAGAAAAACACCTAAAACTATTTCATGGTATTAGAGCGGTTCAAATGGTTTTACAAAGTGCTTGCAAAAAGTTAACATAATGTGGACTGAAAACCCACGGCGGGAGATCCAGCAAAACACCCGACCCACGACGGATGTGAAAAACACTGCTTTCCGCCGCGGCCTCTTTTAAAATTCGTTAGTCCAGAACAAAGAAATCCGACTAACTTGCGAATTGTGGCTACTGCGTTTTTAGAAACAACCCCATAACATAATTTTTCGGTGAAATTAAAAATTCGACCCTTTTTGCCTGTACGATTTGAGATGAAAACATAAACGGCCGTTGGCCAGGTATACAACACCGTGGTCCAAAAGGCAACACACGCAGACTAAAATAATTCTGAACAATAGGACTTCTATTACGCTGTTCAAGAAAGAAATCGATGAGTACTATGTATGGGCAGCCCTTGACTTTTGCTAGTCTTGTTTTAATACTCCTCGAACAAATTCTAACATGAAGATCAAACTTGAAATCACATCACCACTACTTCAAACTATCTGTTGGAAGGAGGTTGGCCATTGAAAATAGTAACTAAAATATTTTGAAGTGGTGGATGTTATTGAAGGTGTTTGATATTTTTAAATTATTCGGTTCCCTATCCGTTGTCTTAAATTGGTTTTCTTTTCGTTGTCTTATTGCAGTAACAATGCAAAATGTGAAACATTACGTAAAAAAATGTCTGTAAAAATACACCTGGTTATTATTATTAGTAGTATTATAATTAAAGGCTCTTTTATTTCAGATGACTGCCAGAGGCCGTAACAGGAACGCTTCAAATGATTATAATGCAATTAAATGCAAAGGTGCAAGCGAGCTGGACAAGAATGACAAAAATAATCCCTGGAGAAGGGGAACAAGAGCAACATTACAGGTGGAGCACTCTACCAACTGGGCTAACCAGGGGTTAGACCTGTAATGGAAAGGTCCCGGGTTGAGATACCCGGACCAGGCGGATTTTTTTGGTCGCGCAACCGTCACCTAGCTCTGTTTGGAGATTTGTGTTTGTCCTTTGTCCCGCTTGTTCACCTTCTCCAATGATTATTTTCGTCATTCTTGTCCAGCTCGCTTGCACATTTGAATTTAATTGCATTATAATCACAACCTTAAATTGCAAGCTTTACCGTTGTTGGTGTCAGACTCGTGGCAGCTGACTTAACCCGTTTGCTCCACTGACGTCTAATCCCTGGTTAGCTCAGTTGGTAGAGCGCTCCACCTCTAATGGAGAGGTCCTGGGTTCGATACCCGGACCACGCGGATTTTTTCGGTCACGCACCAGTCACCTAGCTATGTTTGAAGATTGGCGTTTGTCCTTTGACACTCTTGTTCCCCTTCTACAGGGATTATTTTCGTCACGCTTCAAATGATTTTTTTTTTATTTCACGTGTCTTAACTCAGATTGTCAACCATCTACCGCAGGCCGCAATGTTAGTGACTAAATGATGGTACACCGCGTCCTGTCCAGTTTTCCCTTCGTTCTCGTCCTTGTTGTTTTGGCGTACTACACAATGTTGGCTTATTCCTTGATAATGCGTATTTTCCTGCATGCACTGAGTTGCCGTGATTCCTTACTATAGTTACTCAAGGGGTAAAAATGCATTGAATTAAAGGAGGTTTGTTATTAAACATTTTATTTATAAAGACTGTTTACAACACAGTTAAAGCTATTTAAAAGAGAAGTGAAAAACAATATACAATAAATATCGACAAATAACAAACCTTTATTATACGAGCTTTACCGAGTTTATAACACATGCAAAATAGGTACTTTATGCAGGTCCAAATGGGGTAATTACAAAACGTTCCATTTCTACAGCCTCATTGAAGCTACCTTCGCAATACGTTCCAAACGGCCTCAACTTTTTTTTTTTTTTAACACACAAAGACAAACATATACGCTGTTGAATGTAAGCGCTTAACTTTTTTTGAAAATTTGCTTCGCAGGACCCAAATAAAAAGGTGGTTAAAAGAGCCCTTTCTCAGTCCAGTTCTTACTGCAGCTTTTTTTGCAAATCTGTTTGCAATGGTGCATTGTGCATGGCATCTACTGATAGAATAATCGTGTATGGTAAGATAGTTGAATAACTTTTACATATGAAAACACGATGCAAGTACATTTTATGTACCACGTTTGAGGCTATTATTTTTGTTTTCTGATTGTGCTTTTAAAAAGCTGAGATATACATTCCCGAATTTTTATATAATAGCAGATATGTCGTTCGCGTGATATGACTAAGGTTAAAGTGAACCACGCGATTTGAATCCGCCAATTAGTTTGTGAGGTTATGTTATATAGAATGGTGTGATTAGTCAGAATATTGTAAGCGCAAACAGTGACGATGACGAAAAAAGGGACACAGAAAAGCCTCATGAATCAACAGGCCCAGAAACAAGTCGTGTTATAATACCTGTAAACATCATTATTAATCCGCGTGTTGCATGATCTTTACAGTAAATTATCAAGATGCTATATTCTGCACCAGTTAAACATTTTATATCAAAATCATACAAACGATGCTTTAATTATGGTCAATGAACAAGAGGTTGTACAAGTATTAAAACGTCGAGTGCACACTTCCGTATGGGCCTTAAATAATCTTAGATCATTTTCGAGCAGGCAAGGGCTGCGTATATGTTGGAAAATGTAACATCATTGAATCTTTATGCTTGTGAGCGAGCGCACAATAAGGTAGAGGGGAAATGAAGAAGTACACTTTTTAGTAAGGTACGTTGTTGGGCTAGTTGGTTCATCTTAGTAAAACATATAAAATAGCGCAACAGAAACAAGGACAAGAAGTAAACAAGACAGGCGCTAACTTTCAACTAGTTTTATTCTGGAAAATCGAACACATATATACACACGACAGGCAAAGCAGCACGACGTAAAAGTTGATTAATTTTTCACCCGATCATTCAAAAACTGAAATTCATTACAATGAAGAACAATAGAATCGTCGCTGACACATGCCGTCCCACTTTTTTTTATAAAGAAAGCTTCCAATAGCTCTCGAGCGACCGTCCTGTTTAATTCTTGTCCTTGTTTCTGTTGCGCTATTTTATATGTTTTACTAAGAAGACTTTTAGTCTACTTCTTCATTTTGTCGGCTTTTAGATTTAAACTAACGCCAGCTGAGCTTGTAATATTTGGAAGAAAAACTCAAGGGCGGATGCGAGATCGCGCGGGTAGCTTCACCGGTCGAAAACGCTGATACGACGCGATATGCCTGCTTTATGTGCGGTCAGCACTTTCAACAAAAACCGGGTTTCCGCCCCGACGTCACCATGTGTACCTTTATAGCCAAAGGAAAGAAACGCATTCACTGCGTCCTCACAGCCTTCCGCGCGAAAGTTATTAAACAATAAAAAAACGTGAATATTTAATTGCAAAAAAAAAAACAACAAATCTAATAGAAGAAAAAACTAGTAAAAACTAAAATGCTAACGTTGTATTTTAGGGCGTGTGTGTTTGTGCCGAGGAGGTTCGCACTTTTGAGCCCATATTTTGGATTTCTTGGCACTGCATAAAAAAGAGGAAAAACGCATGAGGTTTACGGTCGATTTCCCTCTAGAGCCTTGTGTATCAGTGCGCGCACCGCAAAATATATTCAACAGAGGGCCCAAAACGCTCTCGTTCGTGAAGATAATAAAATGAAAGCTGGGCTCCAAAAAAAAAAAAAAATATTCCTGCGCAAAAAAAAAAAAAAAAAGACTGACTTGCATGCACCGCAGACGAACTTTTGGCGCGTGCCTGAGAGATTAAAACTGAGAAGGCTGGAAAGAAAGGGCGATTGCAAAAATATATATATATAAGAACGTGTGATCCGGAAAATTACGCACAAAAACAACCCTAGAACAAAGGTTTAGATCTTGAGTATTAATATTATTTTTTCTCGATTATTAACTCACCTTCATTATGTGTTTTATTTCAATTCCCTACCAGTAAAAACATAAAAATATATTAAAACACTATATTCATACTTTTTAGTATTCATTGGCGTTCTTGAGGATTCAAACCAAGTTTCAAATTGGGAATTATATAGACCTACATATAGTTCAATATGCTTTTTCCCTAAGGCGTTACTTAGCGTCAAAATACGCTTTCCTTAGGTTATTGTTTATCTATGGTATGCCATATAATTTTCAAAGTACCATACTTAACCAAAACTGCCATATATTAACATAACCTGCAGTCAAGCTCAATTCTGGCACTTGTTTGAAGAAATTCTTCCAAAGTTTCCACGTGAAAACGGAACAATCATAAATGTGAAACTGAACTCTTGCATTTCTCTTGTGATTTAGACAGAATGACACCTTATGACAGCAACACTAACAGGCAATCAGGCATAACTTTGAAAGTTGCTTGTTGACTTCCCAGGTAGCACGTCGACACTGGGCCAGCGCCGGGGGAATATTGCCCACAAAATTAACCGAGTTTCCTACTTTGCACCACGGCCCAGTATTGGGCCAATACCGGTTAGCGATCGTTCTAAAAATGGGTAAGAATCGGCGATATCATTCGACTTCTGGGCAGAGATCGGCGAATATCGGTTAACATGGCCGCGTCCGCTGCGGTATCAGCAAACTTGGGGCAAAGCCAAGGCTACTACAACCACTCAGCTGGGAAACTGCCATTGAGCCTGCTCTGAAAAAGTGCCACCGATCCGTCCTCGAGAACCGAGCTAATAGCGATCGTAACGCCACCATTTCTACCGCACCGGCCACTCGAGGAACTGGGCGTGACTTTTATTTTGGCTTTAATCGGACATTTTGGCTCCGAAACAGATACGGTGGAAGGGGCTCCAAGGGTGCCACCCCCGACTCCCAAGCGGACGCGCCGCGATTTACTACCGAAGTTAGGATGTGCCTAGGTCGGGACGCGCTACTTGAAATCACTGCTGAAACGTGGTTGTATAAAAACAATAATAATTGTGCCGCAAACCTTGTAAACTAAAGATTTTAGAAAACACCACGCGCCTCCCGTTTTGTGCTAACCTTCAATAAAAGTTACTACAAAATAGTTTTTTTTTTTTTTTTTTCCGTTTGCTTGTGCGGAAAAACCCAGTCCCAGCCCCTGACTGCCCGGCGCGTACTCGGTGCGGCCCGTGGCAACAGCGGCGGCCGCCGCGATAGGCCGGCGCGATTGACCGATTCAGCATCGTTTTAGAAACGGTCACCAATTCCTAACACCGGCCGATATAGCCGCTTCATACCCGCCAAATTACCGAAAGACGACGCTGGATTCTGTATATCAGCATGGCGTTGGCCGACCCAAGTAATGTTACGCCGACATATACAACATCACAGCAATACTGGCCCAATTTTTACGATTCAGAGCCAATATAGGCAGTATCAGAATGATATTGCCCAGATTTCTTCGATCCGACGCCAATATTGGCGCAATACTGTGTGCTGCCTGTGTTACGATCAAGATATCTAGGTCCAAGCCAAAGAACGCTCCGTTTGGCTCCAACTTAGATTCTTCGGGCATTTGAAGGCTGTGAATTCCGAGTCAAAAAGAGAACGTTTTCCGATACAACTCTACTATACTGCATAGTTAAGTCGCAGTCACTATAGTGTGCGATCGTACTAGTACAGAGAAAAAAAATATCATATCGAATTTGTTTTTCTTTCTTAACATTAACTTCTCAACTAATTTGCGATATTTGTTTCAACATATATTCTACAAAAAAGGCAAATAAAAATTAATTTCCATCACATGTCAAGTAGCAAATTCTGCCTAATATTAATCCCTAGAGCACACACATGCATCAAAGTGATGGATATCCCGAATGGGCTGCAGTCCCAAAACGTACATATATAGCCCACTCCTGCATAATATATCAAAGGGTACACTCTCAAGACCGCCCGGAGAAGGTCGAACTCGGCGAAGACAAAGAACGCGAACACAGAAAGTATGTATTAGACGTCACGGACACTCTGGGCACGGTGCCAGACAGCAAGCGAGTCGCGCGTTCTTGACAGGACAGTTGAAAATGCTTACTCCCGATGGCGCGACACTGAAATACTGCTTTCTCTCTCGAAGCAATGTCGTCCTCCTTTTTCCACTTCGTCCACGAACGCATCCTTGGTCTGCCACCGGTGCCGATATGGATCGCAAAATCGAAACTATCTCCGCGTCGTTTACAGCCTGTCACTTATTGCAATTTCGTTTGTTTTTTTTTTGTTTTTTTTTGCGCGGGTATGGGGGGGGGGGGGGGGAGGGGCTTCGTTTTGTCAAGTCGATTTCTCGTCAATCGGA